CTCTACAGTCCCCCAAACCCTAATTTTTAAAGTAGCTCTCCTGACCCCTTTGCTTTCCCTTACTAGACTATATAAATAAACAATTTAAATTAAAAATTATATATTATTATTATTATTATTTTTCTGATTCAATGTATCTATCTCAACTATTCACCTACACCACTCGAATTTACCAAAAAATATATATTATTACCTCCTTTTTACTTTAGTCAGGATTTGAACCCCAAGACTCAAGCATTACTCCAAACCATATTCTAAACGTAGCAATTTAAAATTTGCTAAGTTCCTAAGCATACTCAACGTTCAAGCACACACATGAGTATTTTCTAAACAATTATAAAATAATAAAAAATTATAATTATTGTAATGCACGTACAAAAATCGAACCCATGACCCTCATATCTCAAAGTAAGGATCTAACCAAACAAGTTACTTTTTATCTCTTCAATATTATTAAATTTTTAATTTAATTACTTTCCTTACTTCCAATTTCTACCTTAAAATATATAATTATTTTCCTTGATTTTACAAAGACCATCTTCAATAGGAGTTACTACCAATAGTTATTTAAAAATAAAAATAAATATTTTATTATAGATCACACATCTAAGTTACTTAAAAGTGGAGAAAGTTGCTTAAAATTGAAAGAAAATTACATAGATAAGTAATTCTGGTCATGTTTTAAGCAATTCAATCTGTAAAACCCATAATAAAATATTTTATTTTATTCTAAACAACTCTAATTAAAAACTTTATTTAAAAATGTTTGTCAAATAGTGAAATTTATACGGGGAGGTTATCATGAGAATTTATTGATTTTTTATTCATTAATGTTCAAAATCAAACCAATAAAAAAATATAATAAAATTCCGATCTATTAAAATCGAAAATCAATCAAAATTATTTTTTTTATTAAAAAATTTTAAAACCAATTGGTTCTGCTTGACAAGTAGGAACCAACCTACATTGAATGAACCGAAATTATAATATATATATATATATATATATATATATATATATATATATATATAATACTGAAATTAAATCATAAAATTACTTTATTATGACCGAACAAATTAGTTTTTTATAATTTAAAATTTATTATTATTATTATTATTATTATTTAAATTCACACATGGAAATTTATAAAAATAAATTAAAATTATAAATATCACAATTAATTATGTATAATATATTTTTTATTTAACAATTATTTTATTATAATATGTTTAATAATTATATATAAAAAAAAACTTACAAAAACCATTCAAACTAAATCACAAATTTTATTAAGTCAAATCAAATCAATTTTTCTTAAAATTTAAAACTAAATCAAGTCAAATCATATTTAAATTTTATATTTGATTTAAGTAATTGTTTTAAGTATAAAATGGAATCAATCCACACTATACCCTTATTCACGTTTGATTTTATTAAATATAATGAACTTGTTGTCACTTTTAGTTTTAATAGATTTTCTCATATATTTAGCTTAATTTTTTTTTAACTTGTACACGTTCATTTTCTTTCGAGTATTTGCAGTTATTGAAACTTGTCAGAGAGAAAATTATACAACCATAAGTATATACACAAATATATAGACAAAGGATTCTCTCGTATGAATCAAATAACCATTTTATCATAGTTAACTATCGATTTTTGGTTTCTAAATATGCATCTTATGCAATCCAACAAATAATTAGGGAATCCAAAAGAAAAAGCAAATAGTTAACCTATATGGGTATGGTTAGATTGGTAAACAGTTAACTTATATGGGTATGTTTAGATGGTCTGCTTTTAAGGATGTATATGTTTAGGTGGCTGTCAGCATAAAATATTGATAAAAAGTAAATAAATTAGTTGTTAAATTAATATAATATAGTTGAATCTCACAAGGATAAATTATAGGAATACATCTATTATTATCATTATTTTCTCTAAACATAGTAAATAATATTAAATGGGGTTGATAATAATAAAATAATAGAATAAAAAAGAATAAATTGATATAGAATAATAAAAATTAAAATAAAATTATAGTAGAATAATGACAATTAAAATTAAATTAAAACATAATTTAAATAATTGAAATTTATAGAATAAAACAAAATACTCTTAGATCAATAAATAAAAAGTAAAATAATATACATCAACCAACTGAGAAGGATTACGAAGTAATAGGAAGACATTCATATGAGGATAAAAATTTTATTAGTAATAATGGACAATTGGCGAAATATTTGAAAGTGAGAGGAGTACAAGTAACAACAAGACAAAGAAAATTGAGTGATTACGTTTTGAGCATGAGATATATGCAAAGAAGAAAGAAAGAGGGGGAATATAGTATTGGAGGATCGTTCTTCTCTCTCTGAGCTTTAAACCTCTTTTCCTTCTATCTTTCTTATTCTAAAATTTCTTTCTTTTGTATACCATTTGGTACTTGCTACAATATGTTATGGTTATATCCTTCCTCATTGTAAGAAATCTACTATAATAATACAAGTACATATCGTTAATTCAAAAATTTGTGTATTAGACATAGTTAAATTGATGTTCTCATTCACCCCATGGTGCAAAGAATGCGTTTGAAAGAGTTGTGACATGAAATGTATCAAACATGGTCACTTGATCTTCATGATGAGATGATTGTCTTGAAACTTAGAGATTAATGAGAGCCCTACCGAACTTAGTGTTCATATTCCTATAATCAAACTTGAAACTCATTATCTATGCATAACAAATAAAAACACAATAAATTAGAGGTCAATATGATAATAAAATGGAAAAAGCAAGGAAATTGCTCTTTGATCCTCCACCAAAGGAATGTTTATTACCCGAACATAAAAATAAGTATTAAGCTCAAGACTTAAACTTGGGGATGCATTGTTAATATAAGGAGAAACAAGGAGTGTATTTTGAAAGATTGGAAGGTGAGTACCTTACTCGGAAAATACAAGAAACGAAATTCTTGAAGGATTGTGTAAAGATGGAGAAAATTTCACCATACTAAGCAGTATTCAATGAAACTTGACTAATTTCAACTTCATACTTTAATATGTAAAAGTACATAAATTTATTATTAGTAAGCTCAAAATCTAAGATATAACATAAAATTTGAAAAACCTTTAAGTAAGTCTAACTATTTAGGTGAAATTACGTAGGAGTTACATTCAACTCAATTAGCATATCATATTCAAAGTTGGCATAAAATTAATTAACATATCTTAACTCAATTAATACAATATTCAAACTTGATATAACCTAACTTACTTAATATGACACATCCAAACTAAGTGTGAAATAGATAAGGTATAATATCAAATTAAGAGAATTGTCACTCATAGGATTCGAACCCATTACATTAATGGTAGAAACCGATACTCCAACCAATAAGCTACTAAGATTTTCCGATAATAATTTATAAATAAATTATATTTATATACAAATAAATGTATATCCGTGTAAATATATAAATAAAATATATTTTTATATTTATATTTTTTGATATAATTATATATTTATATAGTTATATATTTACATATTTATATGTTGAATGTGAGAATGTGTTCGATGGTGAAAGCGTGTGTCGAGTGAGTTTTCAAAATTTGATGTCAAATTTGTGAGCGAGTCTCTTTATATGAGTTTGTAATTTAATGATAGAATATAATCTTTATAATTTATTTATATAATGATATAAAATAATTTATTTCTTTATTTATTTTTATTTTATTTTATTCTTTTTATCTTTTTTCTTCTATTATTTAATTGAAATTCTTATATTAAAATAATTTTTTCAAATATTAAAAATAATTAAATATTTATTTTTAAAATTATTTTATTTAATAAATTATTATAAATTAATCTATGTTGGAAAAAATAATTATTAAAAGATGATTTTGATTAATTTATAATAATCTATGTAAGGGAAAAAAATTGTTCTATTAATTAAATTAAATTTGGTATCAAATTTTGAATATCCACTCGACACACACTTTCACCTTGAGCATGCACCTCACATCCAACATATAAATATATAACTATATAAATATATCAAAATATATAAATATAATATATTTGTATTTATATATTTTATATTTATATATTTACAAGTATATACATTTATTTGTATATAAATATAATTTATTTCTAAGTTATTATTAGAAAATCCTAGTAGTTTAGTGATTAGAGTATGAGAGAACCTCTAAATAAATAAAGGAGGATAGAAGATATTATAAATAAAAAGGGAGTATAAAAAGATAAAAATTTCAAATTTTCCACATTGGTTCACCAACCGACGTGAAATGTGATATTTGTATAACCTTCAAATTACCTAACTGATTGATAAATTTTTTTAAAATAAACTTATTTCACTTAAATTTTTGCAAAATTTTAGTTTCCGAAATTTTGGGACTTATGTACCTATCTAACTAATATTTATTACTTTTTTATATAAATAATATTTTTTATAAAATTTTTATTCAAATTATATATTATCATTAATTTTTTATTATATTATCATTATTTTTTTATTTTTTCCTATATAAAAGAGTCAATCAAATCCTAAATTTTACTCTCTAATTTTATAATTATCTTATTTCTAAACTCACCTGAGTATCAGATTCATAAGTGAACCTCTACTCATTTTCAATAAAAATACCTACTCTTATAAATTAAGCTGGAACCATCTCATACTCTTACGGTACTCCACAGTTAATAAGAATATCATCCCATATAATCTTAATTGTGCCCGTAAGAGTATTTTTAGTGAAAAATACTCATATGTAAAAAACATATTATAACTATATATTTTCGTATTAAACATTTGACGGAAATAATTTCGTTGATATTATTTATGCAATGGCCTAAAATTTCCTCGATGCTACGTCACAGAGACAGAGACACAACCGGCCTGACCAGGCCCCTCCATCCCAAGTAACAACTAACAAACAACTACTCAGTTATCGTAACCCTGGTTAGGTTAATCGAACCAGGGTTGGGACATGCCAGTTGGAGACATGGGGGCTTCAAGTCAAGTCCGCAAAATAATGCAACGATCAAGGTCACTCACAGACACGCAAAGCGATGCATACGTGAGGACCAGACGAGACAACGCACGCACCCACCCACCCGATCCAAACCCAAACCTTCGCTCATCCATCTCCCACACTCAACCACCAATGCTAAGAGACGAAACTGTGGGTTCCAGAAGCGCCAGGCACAGCATTGCCGCCGCCACCGTCTCCAACAAGGTTCTCGTCGCAATCAAGGCGGAGAAGGTGATCTCCAACACCGCATTAGCCTGGGCGCTCACTCATGTTGTTCACTCCAGCGACTCCATCACGCTCCTCGCCGTTCACTCTGCTCACAAAACCGGTAATGATTTCTTTCTAAAACTTTCGATAAATGTTAATACCGTTGAATCGGATTGAACTCCAATCGCAAAATTAAAGAGTTAATTCTCACAACAAAATTTGGATGCTGTTATTCACATGCTTATGGCGTTGTACTTTGGGAAGAATTGAAGTTTCATTTCATTAGTGATTTGTATGAATACTGAAATTTCAGACGCTGATTTGAGTAGAGCACCGAAATTATGAAAGAAATTGTGTTTAACTGTTCTAATTCTTGCTGGTTCAATTGGATTAGAGTTTGAAATAATTGTGCGTGGATATCGATTGATGCAGGCAGAAGGTTCTGGAATTTTTCGAGACTCGCTGGAGATTGTACGACTGGACCGGCGGGGATGTTGCCGGAGCGAATTTCCGATATCTCCGAGTCTTGTGCGCAGATGGTGCTTCAGTTGCACAATCAAGTTGAGGTAACTTTGAATTTTAATTTACCTGAACCGAAAAATAATTTATTACTTACGGAGTATTATAACTGCCTATACATTATCGGGTTTTCTATTTATCCGAATCACGATTACAAAGAAAATTGTGATGTGCATGTCGAAATTGAGAAATTATTATGCACTCGAGTAAACCGAAAACCTAAACCCGCTGTCACTGGTTGTTTCCACCACCTTTCTCTTTCAAGTTTTTGCCTCGGTTCTTAACGTTTAGTGCGACGAAAAGGAATTGGTTTTCCACCTGGTTTTTTTAACGTGATGAATCGGTTGTTTATAATTTTTTTTTTCTTTTTTCTGTTTTTATTTATATATTTAAAAAGAAAAAAAAAACTTGTGACTTTATGACCATGTTCGCGCTGTCGTTTTTGTCTCACTCCCTTTCTTCCGGGGACGCACGTATATTTCAAACATTAATGATATGTTTGCATTATAACTTTACAAGTAATTTTTTAAAACAAATAAGAGAAAAAGAAATAAGAATTAAATAAAAAAATAAAAATAAAAACTATATTACGTATATTAATAGAAATAAGAATTGAAGAAGTATGCTATCAAAAATAGAATGAAAGAAGTGGATTTTCTTTTCTGTTCATTCAGATAAGTAGAATAAATATTGAACATTAATAAATAGTATTATTTTTTATGCTGATTACAAAAATTAAATTTGACTTAAAAAAAATAAAACATTTTACCTTTTTAATTGTGTTAATTTCTTAATATAAAAATGTGTATAATTTTTGTTATAAAAACTATATTATTTTATAATTTCTTCCATTTTACTTCTTCCCCCAAACAACCAGTTAAATTTTATATTTTCGTTTAATCATTATTATCTTTATTTTCTTCTCTGTTTAAACTCAAAACTAATTTAGATAGAAACATGACAAATTATTATGTCAATTATTTTATATATTTTCTATTCTTGAGTCAAATCAATATCAATAATTTTTGCCAATAATTTTTTTTATGTCAATCATTTAAAATGTGCGTGTCTTTTTATGTATATATTTTTCTTCACAAAAAAAGACAATGTACATACCACACCATGACGCCCTCAATTTGGTTTCAGTAACGTGTCAGAGTTGAGGAAGTTTCTGATCTTTTCGAACTACCAGCTTGACTGGTCCGCTCCATTCATATATGGATTTGAAATCTTGTCTTATAATAGAGTTTATGATTTATTAATAGTTGCACATGCATAAAGCTTCATAGGACAAACTATACAAAAATAATATAAACAGCGTTTAAAGATTTTCTTTATATTTATATATACTCGTTAGTGGAAAGATTTGATTAGTTACTCGTAGTTAGTTTTACTGACTCAGACTATACTCATAATTATAATCTCTATTACATATGTGACTTTGTGAACATGAATAGACAAAGAGTATAATTTCGGAAATAAACATGTATTTAATAATATAATTTTATATTTATATAATTATTATTATATTATTAAATAGAATTATAGAATAGATGTTTACAGAGAAAATTTTCTATTTATTATTTCTCTATTTTTTGTGATAAAATATTTTGTTTACAAAATTTATTTTCCAACTTTCACTTTTGCCAATGTTATTCCCTTATGTCTATTATACGCATATATGTAATCGGTGCCGTTAAAAGTAGTACTAATTCTTGAGTTATGGGTGGCTAATTATTAAATAGTTATTTTTTTCAATTACACAAATAAAAATGTAAAATAATATATTACTTCTTTCATTTTTCTATAATTTTTCATTTTCCTCTTAATTTATTTCTACCACTTTTTATCTTGTCTTTATATATTCTCTCTTTAAAAAACAAAAACAACAAATTTTATATGGAACAAGGTCAGGTAATCTTTTGTTCTGGTTTTTATTTCCCTAGATGCCTACATAAGAAAAATCATTGATGGGCGAAAAATATAAAATAAAAAAGTAGAATAGAAGATTACTTGAAAATAAAACCATGTTGCTTCATATAAAAAATTGTTTTTTTTTTTTTATGTTTCTATAAAGAAAAAGGAAGAAAGAATATATGAATACAAGATAAAGAGAGATAAAAATAAATTAAGAAGGAAATGAAAAATTATGGAAAAATAAAAAATAATTTATTAGTTTTAATTTTTATCTTTGTGCTAGAAAAAATAGATAACTATTAATTATCAACATGTAAATTAAAAAAGAATAATTAGTACTTTAAACATGTGCCTCGACGACACAAGTTTTATAAACCCATATAAAAAAATTGGAAGTCTATTTTAGATTCCAAACAAGAACCGTAAGAAGAAGAAACCCATTAATTAGACATGGGATAAAAAATGGACGCTAAATAGTAAAACCGGATAGATTTCACTAGAAGCGACAATTAAATAAGAAAATTACGATGAGTGAGATTTTCATCCATTACATAGGTTTGATACACACATGTTTTATTGTATATTTTATAATTAGGATTTGAAAGATCTTTTGATATACTTTTATTGAGTTAGATATTACACTTATTATTTTTTTCATAATAAATTTGAATATTAAAATAATATTTAATTTGATTTACTATTTTTTTAAGAAAAAACATTGCAATATTACATTAAATCAAATTGTACAACACATAATAATGTGGGATATGAATACCTGTTCTCTCAATTTCCTTTACATCGCCATTAATAAAATGGCTACTATATATAAAAGTACGACTGTACATTTGTTGAAATGACTTCTTCTATTTCTCATACGCAGGTTAGAGTGAAGATTAAGGTGGTCACGGGTTCTCCCAGTGGTGCTGTGGCGGCGGAAGCTAGATGGAGCGGTTCCCATTGGGTCATACTGGACAAGTAATTAAACATGAAAAAGTATTTCTTTTGTTCTGAGCTATTAGTTTATTTAGTTGATTGCAAATATGTTTCTTATTTCTTTCATGCACGCCGCGGGATGGTGTCATTAGTTGGCTTTCATATTTGACTCGTGGTGGATGGGTGATGATGAGAAATTATTTGGTGGCTGAAAACTATCATATTTATTCATGTTTCCGACAACATAAACACGTGTATTGTAAATTTTCAAGAAAAAATTATTTGAACACTTAACCATATATCATATGGAGATTAATAGATATCTTCCGGATCACCAAGCAATTTATCATGGAAGACCTCTTCTGCAATTCACATGTAGCACATTGGCTGTTTTAGTTAGCAGCAGCTGATTAGCCATACTCTAGGAGGACCTTATTTTAGCCAACTGCATGAAAGTAATCGTTCAATTGATTTATGCATTGAATAGCCCCAACTATTGTCTCCGATGTTACCTGCCAGTAAACAGAGAAAGCAACCTATTACATTTTCCCCACCTAATTTTTGCTAGGTCTAGTGAACATTTTAATTAATGAAGGAGATAATATGTATAAAGGTTGCAACATTATTTGAGATTCGAAGAGGCATTGCCCATACTTGGATATGACTGAACAACCGCTTCACATAAATTTCATCAGAAATAAGTAGAATTTTTAGGAGCTGCATAGCCGAATGATAACTATACGAGAAATATGTTAATGAATACCTTGCGTTGTTGAAACAGGAAATTAAATCAAGAGGTAAAGCATTGCATGGATGAACTAAACTGTAGCATTGTGGTTATGACTGGGTCGCAGGCAAAAATCCTCAGGCTTAACTTAGGGTGCTCCGATGAACTCCAAACTCCCTTTTTCTCGGCTACTGCTTCACCAGGTATAGAAATTGCAAAAGTAAAAGGCAGAAGATTGAAGCATTCTACCCCAGTGGGTAGCCCTGAAGAAGCAGGTACTTCTGTTACAAGAAACATAGGAGTAAATTTTGGGTCAAGTTCAGACTCGACGACGTCTCCTTTCCTAGTCTATGAACAAAATCCTCTGTACGAGAGTCAGGGCGGCCCAGAGCAAAACATACGCAAAGCAATCAACGAACCAAAAGATTTCAATTTCCAGCCACCATCATGCTTTGATCTTGAAAGAGATCGCCCTCCCCCTTCGTGGCCACGTCCAGCACCATCTGTGGCTAGTGATAACAAGACTGTATTTTGGATTCCGCAAAACCACATTGTAGACAACAAGTTTCAGAAAGCTAAAAATAATATCCGAAGAACTAAATCTCCAACTTCGAAAACTTTACTTGAGAATTTTATACGTTGTGATCAAGAGATGAGAGCAAATGAACTTGGGTTTGGCCAAGGGCAAAGTAGAAGTTATGTCCCCGACTCGGACAATAACGATAATTCCATTCCTTTGGGCAGAACTACGTCAATACCTCCTCCTTTATGCTCACAGTGTCAGAATAAAGCACCAGTATTTGGAAAGCCTCCAAAACGGTTTTCTTATGAAGAGCTAGAGGAAGCTACTGATATATTCTCAGATGAGAACTTTTTGGCTGAAGGTGGATTTGGTGTGGTTCACAAGGGAATACTGAAAGATGGCCAGGTTGTTGCGGTGAAACAGTTGAAGTTTGGGGGTTCTCAAGTAGATCTTGATTTCTGCCGGGAAGTTCGGGTTTTGAGCTGTGCACAACACAGAAACGTTGTACTGTTAATAGGATTTTGTACAGAGAGCAATTTCAGGATATTAGTTTACGAGTACATATGCAACGGATCCTTAGACCTCTACTTATATGGTGTTTACTAACTTCATTTCAAACACTCCTTTACTGCCGTTTCTCTCTTTCTTTGTAATTTGTACTGAATGTTCTTCACATCAATCCAACGAGAGTTCAAACAGTCTATCACTTGATTAACAGGAGATGAGAATATGCCTTTCGATTGGATCTCACGCTTAAAGATTGCAATTGGAACTGCACGGGGCTTGCGCTACCTTCATGAAGATTGTAGAGTTGGTTGTATAGTGCACAGAGACCTTCGACCCAAAAATATCCTCTTAACCCATGACTTTGATCCTCTGGTAATGTGGCCTTCCACATCCTTTTTTGCCAAAGTACTGGACTTTCAAATATTTTTGCAATCAAACTTTAACCGATAATGCTTCACAAATCAAATAAAAAATAAATAAAGTAACTGCATTTTAAATCTAATCACTTACCATTCATGTAGGTGGCAGATTTTGGGCTTGCTAGATGGCACTCAGAATGTAATATAGATACAGAAGATCGGGTTATAGAAACTTCAGGGTAATTATTTTTCTCTATGCATGTATATGTTCTTCGCAACAAAATATGGGACATCACGGTTTTGATTCTAATCGAGGTTACCTTACATAAACTAGGTATCTTGCACCGGAGTATCTTGACTCTGGAAACCTTACATATAAAGTAGATGTATATGCATTTGGAATTGTATTATTAGAGTTAATAACTGGTAGAAGAATTAGCGAGTTGGAACAGTTCAATGGAATGTCGTATCTTTCCCAATGGTTTCACCCTTTACGCATGTTAGAGCCCAGTCATATTTTACAAAATGTTCGATCTCTCAAACCATGCTTCAACTCTGAGGAATCATTGGAATTTAATCTTCAATTACAAGCCATGGCACGAGCTGCTTCGTTGTGTCTTCGTGTGGATCCTGATGCCAGACCCCCAATGTCAAAGGTATGATTTGCATGGGTTCAACTTGTTGCTTAATTAAGTAGAAACACCTCTCTTTCTTTCTTTCTTTTTTATTGAAAAGGCCCTTTTTTTAACGTGAATGTAGATCCTGAGAGTTCTGGAAGGGGGTGATCCAGTTCGTCCTATTGGTTTAGACATCAATTCAGTTGGTAACACAAGTGGCCATTTAAGTGGCTTGAAGTCGCTCACTCCACCAAAAGGTACCATAAGTCATTCTCGTAGACTATCACATTGATCATTCCTTCGACTCTTGGTCTAGCTTGCTAGAAGATCTATTGTTGGCAATATAGTTCTATTTGTGAGCTGCATATGATCAATTATCCATTTGAAGCGTGGACCTTTCGTGCGCTTATTGCAACTTTCTGACATGCAAAGCACTTGTTGGTAAGAACTAAGACAGAAGTCATTATCTCACCCTTCTCATGCAAAAACAGATTTGTAATTTGGTGGGTGTTTCTGGAGCCCTCTAGTTGCTTAATGGCAACAAATTCATTTGAGAGGGGAATTTCTCTTTGCTGTATTTTCTGTTGGATCCGAAGGGAAATCCCCATTTTTACAGCTTTTGGCCCTTAGTGATGAAGTGTCAGTTTCAATATGCCGGGCTAGCTGTGTGTATATATGTGTTGTTCACCCTATTTTTCCCATTTCTTTTTGTTACAATAAATATATTAATATTGAATACTAGTATTTCATTCCTTTACAATTAGTTTACTTCTATATTTTTGCCATTATGGCATATATTTTCTCCATGTGTACTCCCTTGATGGGATACATTACATCTATATCTTCACATCCAAAAAGAAAAAGGTAAAGAAAGATGCTAGGTATATCCTCCTTTTGTTTTGTCATCCTCTCGACGTATATAGTTGAATAGTAGGTGAATGGCAGTGCCTTTTTCCTCCCAACGTACATTCGATCTTTGCGGCTTACTTTTGCATATTCATGTTTTGATTCCTCGCGGTTTGGTATCTTCTCGGCCATTAAAACAGGGGTGAGCGCCTTTTTCAATGACAAGCTCCAAAGGGTTATCGACCTTTTGGGAATCGTTGGTCATTGGGCTACCGAGATGCAACAATAATTTTCAGAAGCATAATAATAGTAAAAGGAAATCAAGGATAAAGGCATCAGTAATGCAAAGTCAACTACTGCGAATAATTTTCGATTTGTTGATTATAACATTCATTACCCTTATTATTAAAAAATTGCCAACTTGAATCACACATACTTAGATGCTTAAAAGGGTTTCTAGTTTCATTTGTATCTATTAATGGTCATGCTCTTCCATGTCCGTGTAGTGGACCTTCCATAATTCACCCCACCAAAAGGTGCCTTTGGGATCCTCCTCTTGGATTTTCAACTCGCTCGAAGTATACTAAATACCTCTTCCTGACTCGTGGTTTGCTTGTTGTACGCATGACCGTTGTGGTAGTTTGATGCAAACCAAATAGCTCAACTATTTTAAAATAACTAAAAGCTACCATTCTATCACTGCCTTCATGTTGAATGAGAACCTTGTTCTCAAGGTTCTGCGATAAATTTAGAATTTTTAGAAAGTGATAGACGATTGATTTGTAGGTGTATTGCTGGAGAAAAGTGTGGAGTCCAAGAGGAGTCAAATTTAATCTTTGGGAGAGAGAATTTAATGAATGGGAATTCAATGGGGCGAGGAAGTGTTGTTCCCTGCTCAAAGAAACATTAGAAGGTTGGGAGGAAAAATTTAAAAGGTTAGCAAGAGCATCTCCAATTGGAATAAGAGTAGCTTAGAATAAAAATAAATATTTTATTATGGATTTTACTGAGTGATTTAAAATTAAAGAAGGAAGTTGCTAAAAAGAATTATTTATAAATAAAAATAAATATTTTATTATGAAATTACTTAAAATAGGAGAAAATTATTTAAAATTAGAAGAAAATTGTGTTTATAAGGATATATTAAGTATAAGAATTTTAAATAAGTTACTTCACTCTTGAAAATGATGAAATAAGGTCTCACACTATCACATCATCATTAAATAACTTTTATTTAATTTTACTTCAATAATAATAAGAATTTTAAGCAATTCTAAACAATTCATTATTTTATATATTTTTTATATATTATTTTAATATTTTCTATAAAAAAATAAATATATACATTATGTTGAAAGTCCCACATCGCCTACCTCATGTCATTTGGTATGGTTTAAATACATGTTAGGTTATTCCACATATTGCCAAATTGGTTTTATGTTAGAACTTTAACATGATATCGGAGCTAAAGTCTAACATCTTACCTAGGTTATTGTCATGAGCCAAAAGTTGCCCTTTAGTTGGGTCTGTAGGGGTGTGTTGAAAGTCCCACATCGCCTACCTCATGTCATTTAGTATGGTTTAAATACATGTTAGGCTACTCCACATATTGCCAAATTGGTTTTATGTTGGAACCTTAACACATTAAATAATTAATTACTTTAATTAATAATACACTACCATATTTTAATATAAAATACATAATATTTAAATAAATATAATAAAAATCAAATAATACTAGAAAATATACTACATAAAATTAATTTTCATTATTTTCTCCTCCGAATTTTGTAAAAGATGTTCTATCAAATCTGTTTGAAAATAGTGGTGAGTATTTATATTTTGAACCATTGTTATCCTTTGAAAGTATGTAAATCTAAAACTAGGATGAGGATTTAATATATCAATAGTTGACATATCATTTTTCCTAAGAGCATCTCCAAAAGGAATTGCTAATAAAAGTGAATATTTTATTATGGGTATCACATCTGAATTGCTTAAAAATGGATAAAGTTCATTAAAATTGGAAGAAAGTTGCTTATATAAGTAACTTTGACCAAGTTTTAAGCAATTCAACTGTGAGATCCATAATAAAATATTCAATTTTATTTTTAAGCAACTCTTGTTAAAAACTCTCGTTGGAGATGCTTTAATATCATAATCAATATGATTTTGATAAGTGTGTCATTCGTCCTCAACAATCATATTGTGTAATACGATACATGCATAAATTATATTCTTTAATGTATGAGCATCCCAAAAATGGACCACGTATAATTGCAAAGCGATATTGAAGGACTTCAAATGCAAATCGAGATTGAAGGACTTCAAATGCACGTTCAACATCCTTTCTTGCTAACTCATGTCGTTGAGCAAATCATTTTCTCTTTTGTTCTTGTGGCATTGAAATAGTTTACAAATGTGACAAAATCTAGATAAATGTCATATGTTAAGTAATATCTCATATTATATTACGTTCTATTCACAGTGTACTGCACCACAGGTGCAAAACATGATATAACTTCATTAAACATTAGATGCATTTAACACAGTAATATCATTATTTGACCTTATAATACCAAAAAATGCATCCCAAATCCACAAGTCTTGTGATGCTACAGCTTCAAGAATGATTGTCAAGTTAGCATGATCACCTTGACAAACTTGATCTTTCTATGCAACTAGACAATTTTTCCATTCCCAATGCATGCAATCAATTGATCCTCAAAATTTGAATCCACAAAATCTGAAATAACTTCATTAAACACATTAGATGCATTTAATATAGTAATATCATTATTTGACCATAAGTACCAAAAAATGAATGTTAAATCCAGAAGTCTTGTGATGCTACAACTTTGAGAATGATTGTCGGGTTAGCATGACCACCTTGACAAAATTGACCTTACCATGCAATTGAACAATTTTTCCATTCCTAATGCATGCAATCAATTGATCCTAGCATACGTAGAAAGCCACATGTGACTTCCATTTGTAGTAATCGATTAATATCTTCATTATTAGGCCTCCTTAAATACTCATTTCCAAATACTACTCAAATGCCCGATACAAATCGTTGTAAGCATTCTACTAGAGTGCTTTTACTAATGCGAATATATTCATCCACACTATTAGCAAGTGAGCCATAAACCAATATGCGAATAACAACAATGCACTTTTGCAAAGGTGATAAACCTCTTCTTTGTGTTGCATCTAGCCTCAATATAAAGTAATCATCGTGATTGTCAAGGGCTTCCACAATTTTGACAAAAACCTCCCTTCGTATATCGAACCTTCTTCGAAATTGAGAATTTGTATATATTGGATTGTAATTGATGATAATCTTCTTCATGATTTCGATGAACTACATTTCTTCTTTGTCTGTCACCACCATTGTTGTCGACTTATTATCGGTACTCAAGTAGTAACCTCATGATCTCTTCATCATGGTTATCTTTGAGTTCTCTATTTATGACTTGATCCAACAATGCATCTAAATCAATGTTTTCAAATTCTATTGTATGGATAATTGAAGTGTTTGAAAATTGAGAATAATATTATAATACTATAAGATGTGAGACATTGCATGACATTCCCTTTTGAATCTTCTGTGAAAATCTTATGTGTGGATGATATAACATCTTTCTCAACTCAACCACTTTTCCTTTGATTGGTAGCTTGTTTGTGGCATGCATTAAATTTTTGAACTATAGGGTGAATTTTACTTCATCGAGATTTTAATTGACTCACTGACCTCTTTGTGAAAACACTATGTTCATCATCATTGTTATATGCTTCTTGATCCACTCCCAATATTGGGTTAATGACTAATCAACTCCAACAATTGGATCCCTTGACACATTTAACCATGATTGAATTAGAATCAAATATTTTGATATTGAGAATTCTACACAAGGTTTTTTCTGACACTTATTTTCACTGCTTCCATTAAGTTGGATATTATCGAATTCGATGGGGGAAGGAGGTTCTATGTTGGATGAAGCAGAAATGTTACTTATATTTGATGTCATTGGAGGTGGTGGAAACATAAAATATGGTGGTGGATAAATATAATTTTGGAAATTTTGATAATTTTCACCAATAAGAGATAAATGATTTTGCAATAAATTATAATAATACTAGTAATTAAATTGATTGAGATCCATAATTGGAGAAGAAGAAAAATGAGGAAATGAGGGGTATGTGAAATTTTTTTTACCATTGATGGAGATTTTATAGTGTAAAAAAAATGCAAAGCAAAGCTTTAACGGTAAAAAAATGATGAACGACTATTTTTGTGTGAGTAATGGTTCCATTTTAACGGTTATCTTTCTCCATATTCCTTCTCCATTTTAGTTTTTCCACCTCACCTCTCTTCCTCCCCCTCACCTCTCTTTCTCCATTTAAGATCTCCTTTCTCAAATTTGCCTTCCCCCTTCCTGCGTC